TGGGTCTTATTTAGGACTCCTGCCAGAGTGACTGCAAACATCATAAGGGCAAATTACGAGCTCCTAAGGATGGTATTCCCAGAATAGGACCAGTTGTTAAAGAAATTTGTAATTCTCAACAACGATGAAAGGACCAGCTACTGCAACAAAGCCTTACTCCTCATCACAATTACTAAATTTGATTTATGACATCAAGATGATGTCATAATTGGTTGCACATTGCTGTTTCATACATTGTATGTGATCATTAGAGAACATAGAACACAAACAAAACTTTTTCTTAGTATGCTATAATATCTGGCAATGAAGATTTTCACTTATTGCTTTTACAATATAGAAGTGTAATATTGGATCCTGCCGTAAATTCGCCCTGGGCCGTTTGGGTTTTTTGAAAAAATAAAATGGGACCAAGAAATTTGTTGGCAGTTTTTTTAAGGTGTTATTTTAATCTTTTCTAATGCCTAAAAATTTCACCGTAGTCATTGATGTCTATTCAAGAGTACCAGTATGGTGTTTATTGTGTCTAGTGATTTGTTTAGATAATGAGCTGTTATCACTGTAAACAATGTTAAATTTAAATGTTCAGTTTATCCTTTGAAAACAACGAATTTTTTTATTTAAAAACAAATCATGCCACTTTCCCATCTCTAAATCCAAGCCAAAAGATTGTACAACAACATCGGCAAATCTCTTCCATGCTGCGTTAACATTAACATATTTAAATGAGCTATGATAATTTGAACATGTTGGCATCATCCATCGTTTTCATTGGTTAATTAGCAACTTGACCTCTCAGGTCAAAGAACACCGTCCCAGGTCAAAACATTGTTGATATTTATTTCTACAGCATCGAGCGTTTAAAATGCAACCAGAATCATTAGCTTACAAGAAATAAGTTGAAATTTATTTGCATTTCATAACAATTCAACGAATTTATTTTTTTCATGTTATTACATGTATAATCATTACTGCATGTAGGTAATAATCAGCAATTGTGAAACTCAGCATGACCAGATTGCGCCACAGCGATCATTTGCTACTAAGTCATGCAGTTGTGTTCGTTTTTGTTTGAAACTTTTTTTAGAATATACTTTTGGTACTAATGAAATGAAAAAAAAAAAATTGTATTTGGCGCACAATGTTGGTTTATGTGATTTGTTTGGAGAAAGATTCACTGGGTAACATAATAAAATTTTAGGCGTTCTACTTTTTAATCAAGCAAGAAAAAAATGTCAAGATTAGCTGCTGCAATAGTTTCTTTTCTTTTGGGTGGTCCAACTGCCGGCGTTGAAAGTCGGCCTAGGTGAATTTTTCAATGAAAATATAAGTCCCCAAAAAATATTTGATGATCATTTTTTGAAATTTGTAACCCCAAATTTTTCAGATGGGCGAATTTACGGCAGAATCCGGTACATGTACTATGTACTTAAACAATCAACCCTAACAAGCATAAAATATATATAATCGGGTAAATTGATTGAAAGAATTACTTTGTAGATGCAATCTTGAATATGACTACTACATGTACATGTATGTATTTGGTAGCTGAAGTTCTTTACAAAATTTAAATATGACACAGACAGACAATACAAACAGCTTTTCTCTGTTTAATAATTATAAATACACAGAGAAATACCAGGGTATTGTAGATGTAACAGGACTTACTTTTTCCACTTTCATACATGATTAGTTTACTGCGAACAAGTTCTTTGAGAATTTTATGACATCCACCATGCTTCAAGTTAGCGATATTTGCAATCAGTGGGGTGGGGACAATCTCATGGTTCTTCATTCCCATTTCAAGCTAAAGATGGAATAAACATAATGTACATTTGTATAAATTGGTTAGGAAACAATAAAAAAAATCACAATATTTTAATAATTAAAAGCTGTTAACAAATTTTAGGAATCTGCCACTCTTAAATGTTCTAAAAACAGTTATTACTAGCATATACTGCTTCCATTTTTAAAACAAGCAGCCTGTCGGCTGAGATAGCTCCACTGTTAGCAATGCACATTTCAAATAAAGATATCATTAGAAAATGAACAATATGTATAATATCAGAGCAATGGGACTTGCTGTTTTCAACAAGAATTCAAAAATAGCACTTTTCACCAAAAATGACAAAAATAATCATCAAAATTAGATAATTGAAGATATCACCACGAAATTAACAAATCTGAAAGAGGTCCACATGTAGTACCTATATATGTAATATAAAAGCAATCGGACTTGCGGTTTTCAACAAGAAGTCGAAAATATCACTTTTTACCAAAAATATTCACTAAAATTGAATAATTAAAGACGTCATCAAGAAATGAACAAATCTGAGCTAAAAATTTGAACATAATCAGTCAAAGCAAGTCAGAGATATGGCACTAGAATCACATTCATTAAAGCAAAAAGGCCGCCAGTCGGCCACTTTGAATCTTATCTAAAAAAAAAATCATTTGCATCAAGGTCCCATAATGTCTAATGTATATACCAATTTTGAACAAAATCCATCTGTAAACAGCCGAAAAATGGTTGATTTTGATGATTTTTAGCAAAAATGGCAGCCATTCGGCCATTTTGAATCAGATCGTGAAAAAATTTGACCTGCATATGTATAATATCATGTATGAAGTTTGATTGTGATTGGTCTAGGCATTTCTAAGATACGTCCCCGTTTTTGGACTGCGTCCAAACAGGGTCTAAAAATGAACACGACATGCATGAGAGAAGCGAAATACAGTTTGAAAAGGTGACGTAACGAAACCAACAAGTGATTAAGTTACATCGCCAGGTTTTATTTACTTTGTTGTGAAAAATGATACACACAAAGGGGAAATCGACACAAGGGTAAAAATGACAGGAAAAACTTTTCCTACCAGCTACAATGTCGGTTACCTTGCCATGGTAACAACCCAAGACAAAAACCCTGATAGGAAAAAGCAGAATAAACTTCATCCCCGTCGATGCGGAGATAAAAAAAAGAGTTTATAGCCAGTCGTAATGGCGCCGCCATATGGCCTTGGTCACATGGTTCGTGACGTAAGGGAAAAGAATCTTGGGGTCATGGGGCTTCCTCTGACCTAGATTCAATCTCTCCGTCATTGGCAGAATCACTGATTAATGCCTGCAGTTCAAAGTAGTCATTTTAAGGGAACATGTATAATGGTGTACCATTACTTTCACCATCCTAGTACAGCCAGATCTGAAGACCTTTGCCGAATTTTGGTGATGCTGTCTGGTCTCTGCACGTAATAAGCTCAGTTATTAAGCATCCTTTTTTGGGGATGCCCGGTGGCCGAGGGGAAGTTACTATAATTTGAAAACAAGGTCTATGA